TCACTGCTCCCCTGTGTTCAGTGCTGCCAGATGCTACGACTATGTGGTTCTTCGAAAATCTGTTCATTATTTGTTCCTTTGTTCTTTGAAGGAACATTGGACCCTCACTTCTCTTCTCCCAGCATACTCCTAAAGAATGCTCAGGTGATATATTCACATTAAGGGCTCACTCAGGTATCTCAGAGTTCTCACTATACAACTCAGTTAGGGAAAATAATGCTCAAATGGCTGGCTTATTTTGAGGGGACCATTAAATTCCCTTCAGTTAGAATTTATCCTGAGCCTTCTACCTCTTTGTTTATGAATTAGTCAATGAAGTTTTTATTGACATACTATTCTTTAGCTAGAGCAATAAAGCAAGCTGTTATTTTTTCAGAGTTGTTGGCAAGTGACAAGTGGCAAGTGAAAACGGAGAAAGAAGTAGAACAGCAGACTCTCTTTCCTTTCAATTTACCTACAGATTAACTTTTTTTTCAGATGCATTAAATAATTAAATTCCAAATGCAATCATTACATGCAAAATATAAAAACCACAAAATAAAATGAATTACAGGTTAACATTTACATAACTCTAGGACAGGATAACATGATGCCAGGGGACAAAAGTATTAAGAAAGAAATCAAGTGATTTGGCCAGGCGTGGTGGCTCACCCCTGGAATCCCAGTATCCTGGAAAGCCGAGGTGGGTGGAACATCTAAGGTCAGGAGTTTGAGACCAGGCTAGCCAACATGGTGAAACCCCATCTCTACTAAAAATATAAAAAATTAGCGGGCATGGTGGCATATGCCTGTAATCCCAGCTACTCAGGAGGCTGAGGCAGGAGAATCACTTGAACCTGGGAGGTGGAGGTTGCAGTGAGCTGAGATCATGCCATTGTACTCCAGCCTGGGTGACAGAGCAAAACTCTGTCTCAAGAAACCAAAACAAAAACAAAAAACCAAGAAACCAACTAATTTAACTACACACACAATGCAAACTTCTATGAAAAGTACCATAAGTAGTCTGGGCAACTGTGAAAGCCCATCTCTACTAAAAGTACAAAAATTAGGCATGGTGGCACACACTTCTAGTCCCAGCTATTCATGAAGCTAAGATGGGAAGATCATCTGAGCCCAGGAGGTCAAGGCTGCAGTGAACCATGATCATGCCACTACACTCCAGCCTGGGCGACATGAGTGAGACTCCATCTCAGGGGGAAAAAAAAAATCAACAGAATACAGATTTTTTTAAAAAGCCCCATAAGTAAAGCTAAAAACTAAATTTAAAAAATACCTATATCATATGACCAAAGGAAAAAATATATATAAAAAGATGTTACAAATAATAAAATGCCAAACTACCTCAAAGAATGAAAAGGATATAAGCTAAGAATAAAAGCAAGTTTTTGGTTTGTTTTTTTTTTTTGAGACGGAGTTTTCGCTCTTGTTACCCAGGCTGGAGTGCAATGGCGCGATCTCAGCTCACCGCAACCTCCGCCTCCTGGGTTCAGGCAATTCTCCTGCCTCAGCCTCCTGAGTAGCTGGGATTACAGGCACGCGCCACCATGCCCAGCTAATTTTTTGTATTTTTAGTAGAGACGGGATTTCACCATGTTGACCGGGATGGTCTCGATCTCCTGACCTCGTGATCCACCCTCCTCGGCCTTCCAAAGTGCTGGGATTACAGGCTTGAGCCACCGCGCCCGGCCAAAAGCAAGTTTTAAAAGAAATGCAAATTAAACCAAACAGATATTATAGCCGTAATCATTTAAAACGTAAATACTTAAGAGAAAAAGAGCCCTCACACTTGTAACTCTAAAAGTGCCCTTTTAGAATTCCCAGCAAGCAATGGGGCTGTGGAGGAGGATGCGGCTTCCTTGTCAGTTCACATAGAGTGTATTGCCCAAGAGCTTTGTTCCTCCTCTTCTCTCCAATTGCCCGTTTGTACTCTCACTTGGGGTGAACAGAAAGACCAAAGGGGTGAATTTAAGCTTACTATTTGAGCTACTAATAGATATACTTTGGTGGTAGAGGCAATAGAAATTTTTAAATTATCTGTGATTTTTAGATTGTCTGTGAAGTTTATTTATCCATCTTTCTCTGACCCTGTATTCCATAGATAACTACACTTTCACTTCACCTGTAATAATGCCACCAAGGTCTTGAATGTTATGAAGTCAAATAATGAGCAGGTGGAGGCCAGGCACAGTGGCTCGTGGCTGTAATCCTAACGCTTTGGAAGGCCAAGGTGGGCAGATCTCATAAGGTCAGGAGTTCAAGACCAGCTGGCCAACATGGTGAAACCCCGTTTCTACTAAAAATGCAAAAATTAGCCAGCCGTGGTGGCAGGTGCCTATAATCCCAGCTACTCAGGAAGCTGAGATATGAGACTAGCTTGAACCTGGGAGGTGGAGGTTGCAGTGAGCCAAGATCATACCACTGCACTCCAGCCTGGGAGATAGAACGAGACTCTGTTCCAGAACTTATGAGGTGGGAGTCAAGTCTTATGAGATCTGGTTCCAGATCAATTGTCATCTGTTGGAATTCTATTTCTCTTCTCAGTACCAACAATTTCCTGGCCTGTGAGTAGGATAAATTAATTCATGTCTTATTCTCTGTCTGCTGCCTTGAAAAGCCCCAAATATCTAATTTATGCCAAACAAAATTTGTTATTGTGTCCCCTGTACTACATAGATTTATTCAAGTTATTCGTAACTGGAATAAATATGTTTCTTCAGACCCACAGCATGCAGTTGGACATGCTGCAAAAGCACGCAGCTCAAGGAACCCTCTATGTATGCAACTTGCAGATGTAGGCTGCAGTCTTGATTGATTTTATAAAAACTAAGTTCTAAAAGGGCAGGAAATTTATTTTGTACATTCACCATTATACCCCCAGAACTCAACACACTGCTAGCAATATAATAAACGGTGAATAAATGTGTTAAACTCTTGAATAAACAAATAAATAAATATATGAAATGCTACAATTTAAATTTAGCATCCAACCTCTTTTTTTTAATGGCAAGCCCAGTAATTATATTTTCCAAGAATGATCTAATATGAAGTCTGGCAAATATAAACAGTTATCAAAAGTATATTTGAAATTACAGCTGTTCTAAAAATTTTGATGCATGTGATCATGATTATTCATTCATTAAACTGAACTGCTTGGACAAAATTTACATTTTCTTAAAAATCATGTTTATGGGCTGGGCGTGGTGGCTCAAGCCTGTAATCCCAGCACTTTGGGAGGCCGAGGCGGGTGGATCACGAGGTCAAGAGATCGAGACCATCCTGGTCAACATGGTGAAACCCCGTCTCTACTAAAAATACTAAAAATTAGCTGGGCATGGTGGCGTGTGCCTGTAATCCCAGCTACTTAGGAGGCTGAGGCAGGAGAATTGCCTGAACCCAGGAGGCGGAGGTTGCGGTGAGCCGAGATCGCGCCATTGCACTCCAGCCTGGGCAACAAGAGCGAAACTCCATCTCAAAAAAAAAAAAAAAAAAAAAATCATGTTTATTAGATAAATTGTTGAATTATTCTTAAAATATTGTTAACATGAATATCCAAAGTTACCTCAGCAATAAAACATTTATGCTTTTGGATTTGCTTCATGTTTGATCAAGTACTGAAAGGCAGAACTCTTGTTCTCTGTGGATTGTATAAATGATGTAAAGATGGAATTTTGTGAGTAAGTTAACAGTGATGCTAACAATACAGTAAATCACCCTACCTTTAAAGTCATTATATTGCTAAATTTAAAATATTGATAGTGGATTACCCAACCAAATATTCTGAATTTTAATAAAGATATTTTTTGGACATAGAAATAAGCCTACTGGACCAATAGTTTCTAGAAGGTTGTTAGCAAAATATCTAAGTTACTAGTCTTGTCTCAACTTCTGATATACCCAATATTGGAAAGATCTTTCTGGTCTCTGAACATCCTGAGGTGACCATTTTATTCATTATTTAATTTCGGTAAAAGCAAGATAATGAAGAGACAAATTATAAAGTTTAGGGCTTAATTTCTAGCAAAAATGAAGACACGTGGTTTTATTACTAGAGAAATTGACTTACCCGACAGCAAAGTACCAAGAGCAGAGCCACGATGTAGAATAGTGCAATTTAGTGGAGAAGAAGGCTGACAAGCAGGGAAAATGGTGGCCTGCAAAAAAAGTCACGGGTAAGAGATGTAACAGCTGCCTTCAGTTATTTAAGACTCACTATCACCATCATGGGAAAGGAATTAGACTTATGTTGTGTAATTTCAACCAAGTTGAAGTTTACCTGTTGACTTGGCATGTGCCAGGATCAGTGGATAAAAGTAATAAAGGAGACAAAGCTTGCTCACCGTGAAGAAGGGCTTTGAGAGAACTGGAGCTCCTCAGAAGAAAAAGCAGCTGGATTATTCATCAAATCCAGATGCCACCATGGAGAATGTGATCTAGAAGGAACTATATATGTCGCTTTCAAACCATTATATAGATTCCTAAGGGTTCTGCAGCTCTTCCCTGAGAGTAGCAAAAGGAAGGGAGCTGAAGACTCCCCAAAGTTTTATTCCTGTTGCTTTTTATTGGACTTCTACACATGAAGCTCTAAGAAGGCAATTTAATATAGCAGCTATTTTTGCTTCAGATTTATATTCAATTTTGCTTTAGAGTAAAAGGATGTGTCCAAAGTTTATATTTATATGTAGAGTATCTAAGGGGCAATGATTTTACCATTAAACATGAAATATTACAGAGACTCAGGGTTATAGAAACATTTGAAATGAAATGTGTTTTTTTCCAAGCCAGTCTCCAAAGAGGCCAGTGATTCTACAAAGCGATTCTGGCTTTGTACATATGTTTAAGTGAACCCTTCAAATCTCCTTGAACTTCAGTCACCCTGTCTGTGAAAGAGAAGGGTAAAGAATACCTCCTTGCAGCAAAAAGGGTCATTAGGAAGATCACATGAGATCACATATATAAAAATGTTTAGTACATCAGCCAGCATGAGTTAGCAAAATCTTCAAATGTTCCTTATTATTCATTCTTTGGTTACTTCTGTTGTTCTAACAGCTTTGGGACCCCAGAACAGAACAATGTATTTCGTGACTCAGTTTGTCCTCCTGGGTTTCCATGGTCAAAGGGAGAGGCAGAGCTGCTACTTCTCATTCATCCTTGTTCTCTATCTCCTGACACTGCTAGGGAATGGAGCGACTGTCTGTGCGGTGAAATGGGACAGGCGGCTCCACACACTCATGTACCTCCTCTTCGGAAACTTTGCCTTTCTAGAGATCTGGTACATTTCCTCCACTGTTCCAAACATGCTAGTCAATATCCTCTCTGAGACTAAAACCATCTCCTTCTCTGGCTGCTTCCTGCAATTCTATTTCTTTTTTTCTTTGGGTACAACAGAGTGTTACTTCTTGTCACTTATGGCTTATGATCAGTACCTGGCCATCTGTCGCCCATTACACTACCTCTCCATCATGACTAGGAAGTTCTGTGTGATTCTGGTCTGTGTATGCTGGGTAGGCGGATTTCTCTGCCATCCAATCCCCATTGTTCTGATCTCCCAACTTCCCTTCTGTGGGCCCAACATCATTGACCATTTTGTGTGTGACGCAGGCCCATTGTTTGCACTGGCCTGCATCTCTGCTCCTTCCACTGAGCTTATCTGTTACACCTTCAACTCGATGATTATCTTTGGGCCCTTCCATCTTGGGGTCTTACCCTCTGGTCATCAAAGCTGTGCTTCCTATTTCCTCTGCTGCTGGTCGAACTAAAGCTTTCTCCACATGTGGGTCCCACCTAATGGTGGTGTCTCTATTCTATGGAACCCTTATGGTGATGTATGTGAGCCCAACATCAGGGAATTCAGCAGGAATGCAGCAGACCATCACTCTGGTATACTCAGCAATGATTCCACTCTTAAACCCTCTTATCTACAGTCTCCAGATCAAAGACATGAAAGATACTCTGAAGAGAGTCCTGAGGTTAACAGTAAGCCAAAACGGAGATATCTTTGAAAAAGAAGCCAAATTAAAAAACAAAAAGAACAAAAAACAAAAAACAAAAAAAAGAAAAAGAAAAAGAAGCCAAATTGGTCACCTCTGATTTTAACTTTTTATAACTGTAGAGAGTAGCTTTAGTAGTGTGTTCTGGCTCACCCTCAGGCAGACAGACTTATCTTTCACAGTTGCTTAGCAGTGCAAGTTCAGCTCATGGATTATAAATACCAAGGCTCGATAAAACATTTTAAACATATGTGGCCTCACTGAGTAGTTATGTGGTGGGTGGGTGCATATATACATATATTATTTTTCTATGCTGTATCTTTGCTAGTTTTAATCTTAGCTGACAGAAGAAATCAATTGCATATGTACCCAAGCCTTTCAAAAAAGTGAGATCTGGCTAGGCACAGTGGCTCATGCCTGTAATCCCAGTACTTTGGGAGGCCAAGGCTGGAGGATCACTTAAGATCAGGAGTTAAAGACCAGCCTGGGAAACATGATAAAAGCTTGTCTCTACTAAAAATACAAAACTAAGCCACGCATGATGGTGCACACCTATAATCCTAGCTACTGAAAAGGCTGAGGCATGAGAATTTCTCGAACCTGTGAGGCAAAGGTTGCAGTGAGCTGATATCATGCCACTGCCCCACAGCCTGCATGATAGAGCAAGAATGTATCTAAAAAAAAAAAAAAAAAAAAAAAAAAAAGTGAAATATTTTCAATTCAGAAAAAATGATTTTTTTTTTCTGAAATGGAGTTTCACTCTTGTTGCCCAGGCTGGAGTGCAATGGCACAGTCTCAGCTCACTGCAAACTCCACCCCCTGGGTTCAAGTAATCCTCTTGCCTCAGCCTCCCAAGTAGTTGGGATTACAGGTACCTACCACCACATCTGCTTATTTTTGTATTTTTAGTAGAGACGGGGTCATTTTTGCATTTTTAGTACAGACAGGGTTTCACCATGTTGGCCAAGCTGACCTCAAACTCCTGACCTCAGTGATCCACCAGCCTTGGCCTCACATAGTGCTGGGATTACAGGCATGAGCCACAATGCCCGGCCAGAAAATAAATATTCTTAAAGAATATTTGTGTGTCAAGAGGCCACCAGAAAAAAACTAGTAATAGACATCTTTCATTGTTTGAGGTTGTCTTTCACACCAAGAACAGAACATGCTTTAAACCTCTATGCTTCGTACCTCTATCCCTTAGAGAAGAAAACCTTTCAAAGCCTTCACTGAACAGATTGGCTTATTTTTTTCTCCTAGTGATACACTGTACAAGTCTTGCACTTCATGATGATCAGTCCTCAAACATATTTAGTCCCAACTGGGTATCTTTACTCACAGTACTTCCTCTCTAAATTAGTTGTGACAACCCCAATATCACTTATAATATGGAACAATGCCCTAAACATATTTTTATTTGTACCCAGCAGTTTCCATGTCAAGTTGGCACCACAGGAACACATTTAATCTAGGGCTTTACCTATTCCATAGCATAAAACCACATGCTGTTTGAGCACAAACCTAAGGAGATCATGGGGTTTCCTCAGAGTTAATTTAACACATTATTTTTAATAATCCCTATAGGAAATGTTAACAAAAATATCAATTAACCCCCCCAGGCAAGCTGTATAAAGGTCCCTAGGGACAGCACAGAAAGTTACAGAATCACTGGAACATGAAGGGACACCTGAGAATTCTCCACAGTGGCTCAAATGAGGCATAAATTAAGACCAACACATAGTTTCGACACCCTCAATGAGAAACAAACCACTAGAATCTTAGGGTACAAGAAAAATGAAATAAGCCACTGGTGAAGCTCTCACCCAGGACTTCCATATTAGAGCCAATGAAGGAGAGAGTCCCTGTGGCCCCCTGCAGGCTCTCTACAAGACAATCTAGGAAAGCTTCCTGGTATGCTGGTATGTAGAAGAGGTCTTCTTTGTTGGGCGTTGCTGCTGTTATACACCACAGATGGACTACTCGCCTATACATTTGTTCATTCCACATGCTCCAGAGATTGAGTATCAAAGAATATTGGTTTGTCTTTCAGCTCAAAAACCAAAAGAAAAAAAAGGAAAAAAAAAAATCCCTCAGAGTGTTTAGATCACCATGCAATCCGCACTTTCCAAAATAAATGCACTAGTCATCCACAGGTCTTTCCCTTCTTAGGAAGAGCCTGAGGCACCAGGAATGCTATGACTTTTGTAGAGATTTTGAGCTTAATAGTATGGAACTAGCTTTATCCACTGGGACTAAAACCTAAAGAAAATTGAATTTTTTTAAATCTTCTCTCTCAGTTTTCCTCTCTCTCTGTCCATTCCATTACTTGCTCTGCACCTTCAGAAGTGATATTTAAAAAGAAGAAAGGATAAAAATCAAATCAATGTTTTTGAAGACTAAGATCTCACATAGATTTAGTGATGACTATATTAGAAATTGTTTCTTACAAGTATGTTGGAAATTATCTGTGAAATTTATTTACCATGCTTTCCCTACGGCTAATAATTTTTCTGCAAGGTTTTTGTTTGTTTGTTGTTTTCAATGTCAATGAAAGTAGTCTGAGCTTAAAGAAGCAGCTCAGACTTGTGCATTTTTATTTTGGGTCAAAGTCTGTGAATCTGAGTGCAAAATCATGTTGTTTCTTCTCTGTTCCAAGGACAAGTGGCTGCTCTCTGCATCACTGCTTTCTCATCTGGCTGAGGAGAGGGGTTTCTTGCTTGGAAAGGAGGAGACTATATAGAGGACCCATAGAGGGGAACCATTCTTTCATGATGTCTTACAAAAATGACCCTCAATGTAGGTTTAGCTTAGTTCTTCATAATCATCCTAGTTTAAAAAATTAAAAATCACTGATCCCCATCTTGCAGTTTGTTTCTTTTTGGCTTCTTGTCCACCAGACTACAACCTTCTGCAAAACCAGCTCTATGAAAAGGTTTATGTTTCCTTCTAACATAGTAGATTCATAGTTCACCTTGTGCATTACTAACTTGTGGGGCCTGCAACAGCTGTATGATCATAAATGTATTTCTTATTTAATATAACCTCACTGAATAGGAGGGATTTATTTTCTATTTGATTATGTTTAGTGAGTACTATAAATACTATATATATGCATATACACACACATATATTGTGTGTATATATATATATTTATTTATATAGAAAATGCATATATCACTTCTATCAAATACTATATATGCGCTACTTTTGAGAAAAATCTAAGGCAAATTATCTTCTTATCAATCAAAAAAGTTAAAGGTATCTTGTTAAAATTTTTCTGAAGAGTCCCCTATGTTAAAGCTATCATTTACTCTTTTCTTGGAGTTCTATTTGATTCTTGAAAATATGTCTTATTTGGTGGTGTGTTCTAAAGAAAACAAAACAAATTTTGGAAAATGAGTAAATAATTATTTTTGAAATAACACCTTTGATTCTCTTGTATCTTTTTTTGAATATTTGGAGGCTATTTTTTTACATATACTAAAGAAAGATCTTCTAAATAGTGAATTTTTGAGAAAATCCTAGCAGAAGTAGTAAGAGGAGCTTTAGAAGAAAATATCTCAGTAACTGCAGTTTTATTCTCTAAAATATCTTATATGTTATCTTTAATGAAATATTTATTTTTAAATGCATATGGAGCACAATAAATTATAATGTAAAATTAATCACCAGGAAATGAATAATTATGACATTGTATTGCTAAAAGCAAATGATTAAATACCAAATTGTAAATAAGCTGTAGTACAATATAAATGTCTCTAGGAAAAAGCAAAATATATAAAGAACTGTATCATCTAAATATCCTGGTTGATTTTCTCTTGGTATCACTAAAAAGAAAAGTTGGAAGAAAATAAATACTCCTAAAATAAAAATAGCTCCAGGAAGAAACTATATGAAATAATGTCAAATCACAAACCACTCAAAGCTGTCAAAAGTCTCAGATTTGAATATATTTAAAATGATGGCATGTGTCTTCATATTTTGAAGTGAAGAGCACTAAGTAATTGCTATATATGAACATCTTTTACTGAAAAACAAATTAGATATAAAACAAACCATTTTTGCCTCTATTTCAAGAATTTTTTTATATCAAAAGAAAACGAATTATTGATTTTTGTCCACTGCCACAGAAAATTCAAACAGCCTGGAGCTTACAAGAATCAGAGCCAAAGGAATCATTCAAGAGAGATAAATCAGGGTTTGCTTAAGAATTTTTTTAGAATATCCAATATATTCACCTGAAAGAGTCAAACTCCTTATTCCCCCAAAAAAGCCTCAAGATGCCTCATCAGCAAAGTAAGTTGTCATTGCCTATCTGTGTTCTCTCCACAGTCTGGGGGAACCGTGAATAACTCACAGATATCTACTGTGACACAGTTTGTCTTGTTGGGCTTTTCTGGTCCCTGGAAAATTCAGATCGTCTTTTTCTCAATGATTTTGTTGGTCTACATCTTGACTCTGACTGGGAATATGGCCATCATCTGTGCAGTGAGGTGGGATCACCGGCTCCATACACCTATGTACATACTCCTGGCCAACTTCTCCTTCCTAGAGATCTGGTATGTGACCTGCACAGTCCCCAACATGCTGGTAAATTTCTTTTCCAAAACCAAGACCATATCCTTTTCTGGATGCTTCACTCAGTTCTACCTCTTCTTTTCCCTGGGCACAACTGAATGCTTCTTCCTCTGTGTCATGGCTTATGATCGGTACCTGGCCATCTGCCACCCTCTTCACTATCCCTCCATCATGACTGGTCAGCTCTGTGCTGTTTTGGTATCTCTTTGTTGGCTCATTGGTTTCCTTGGACATTCAATTTCCATTTTCCTCATTTCTCAACTACCTTTCTGTGGTCCCAACATCATTGATCATTTTCTGTGTGATGTGGACCCACTGATGGCATTGTCCTGTGCCCCTACTTACATCATAGAGCATGTGTTCCATTCTGTGAGCTCTCTTTTCATCATCCTCACCATGGTGTACATCCTTGGGTCTTATACTTTAGTACTCAGAACTGTGCTTCAGATTCCTTCTTCAGCTGGATGGCAAAAGGCCTTCTCTACCTGTGGATCGCACTTGGTTGTGGTGTCTCTGTTCTATGGAACCATAATGGTAATGTATGTGAGTCCCACATCTGGCAACTCAGTTGCTACGCATAAGGTTATCACACTGATATATTCTGTGGTAACACCTGTCTTAAACCCTCTCATCTACAGCCTTCGCAACAAGGACATGAAATATGCCCTCTATCATGTCTTCTGTGCAATGAGAATTACCCAGAGCTCATGAATAGGTTTTTTTTTTATAACTCAGTAACTCTAGGCAATTGGAAGAATAATCCTCATCTTTTAACACAAACTGACTTGGTTTTACTCATGGTCATCACAGTCCTTGTGTACAAGCAAAACTCTTCATGTATCTAATCATATTTTGATGAGCTTCTAGTTTCAGAAATGTGTTCCAGGGGAGCAAGTTGGCCCCAACATATAGTAAAAAAAAAAAACATTTAAAAATCTTAATATCTGTTTCCAGAAAGGTTTTTACTTTGGTGTGCAGTCTCTAGCCACACAATTTTGCTAAAACATATTAATCAAATCGATTGTTTGCAAACATAGTTGTCTATCACTTCTTTAAAAAAGACGCAATATGCCTATCGTCCTGGATGTTTGGTGACACATCACTGTATACACTAAGATACACTTAGAGATTGTAAATTCAGTTTCACAATTCTTAATTCATCATCCTCATCAACAGTGTACAAGGGGAGGCTGGAAGTTAGATTTACAGAGTGTTGTTAGTACATAGTCCTGCTAAGTGAAGTGAGGGTCACATCAAAAGAACCACTTAGAGGGCTTGACTCTGTCCCCTGAAATTTGAAGGACACCTTGACTGTCCTTGATTTGTACCTGGAAAAAAATACAAAGACTGTGAAAGAGATGACTCTGAGAAAGAGTAAAAGGAGACGGGCTGTAGCAGGAGCAAATGAAACTCCCACCCAGAATAGAACAAACATAGAATACCCACATTTGACCTAGTTAGACCCTATGAGAAGTAACCTTCTTGTGCTGTCTTAAAAGGAACCGTACCCAAAAGCGCCACTTGGAAAAGTAAGGCCATTTCAAAAGTAAGTCTATACAGAGTAGGTCACCCAAATCCAGGGTTGAAAGAAGTCACATGGAGTCAGCCAGTGAAGCACTGCCCATATCAGAGAACCTGCAGTTTGGAGAGCCACATCAAAAAAACAAAATATTTCATTAAAAAAACATTCAGACTATTGTTAAGCCTATAAGGCAGGCATCCCCAAACTACAGGCCGCATGCGGCCCCCTGAGGCCATTTATCCGGCCCCCCGCCACACTTCAGGAAGGGGCACCTCTTTCATTGGTGGTCAGTGAGAGGAGCACAGTATGTGGCGGCCCTCCGATGGTCTGAGGGACAGTGAACTGGCCCCCTGTGTAAAAAGTTTGGGGACGCCTGCTATAAGGCAACAATATCTAAGTCAAGAAAAAGACTTTCTGCCTTTACTTCTTCCCTACCTCAAACCTAGAGTAACCAGAGTCAGCAGACTAATGTAGAAAAAGAGAAATGAAAAATCAGAGGGAAACAAGCAGATCAAGCCTAAATCAGATCCAGTTTAGAGGAATTAGTTTTAATATGGACAAAAAAAATTAATATTTTAGTTTTAGACTATACAGTCAGCCTTCAGAAATGTATGGGTCCCACATCCATGGATTCAACCAACCTCAGATTGAAAATATTTGGAGGAAAGATATGTATCTTTACTGAACATGTACAGATTTTTTTCTTGTCACCATTCCCTAAATAACACAGTGTAACAGCTATTTACATTGCATTTGTATTATATATAACCTAGGTATGATTTAAAGTATATGGGAGGAGGTTACAGTGAGCTATGATTGTGACACTCCAGCCCTAGCAACAGACCCTGTCTCTAAAAAAATAAAAAATAAAATAAAGTATAATGAAGGATGTGCAATAAAGTGTGGGTGATATGAAAATACTACACCATTCTACATAAGGAGCTTGAGCTTGTGGATTATGATATCCACAGGAGGTCCTGGAACCAATCCCTCATGTCTAGTGAGAAACAAACATACTAGAATTCCTAATGGCCTGGATAAGGAGGTCATATATTAAAAATAAAAGTGGTTATAAAAGCTACCAGCCCAAGATAGTATCCATAGGTGGAAATAAATCACACATCAGAAAGTGTTTACAATAGACATGGTGGGGAAAAATCAAGCTCCTTTATATTTATATCCTACCAAGTACAAATCATTCAGTAAAATAGTTGTAGCGACAAACGTTTAAATGTTGCTGTAGCCTAAGAGAGGAAGAAAGCTCCTACCTGAAAGACCAAGGGACTCTCCTGAAAAGCCCCTTGGACAAGTGGAAAACACTATGCTTCAGGGTAAGTAGAAGGGCCTAAAAAAATGGGGCAATGGGTGATGGGTGTTGGCTCACACCTGTAATCCCAGCACTTTGGGAGGCCAAAGTGGGCAGATCATGAGCTCAGGAGTTCGAGACCAGCCTGGTCAATATGATCAAACCCTGTCTCTACTAAAAATACAAAAATTCTAAGGCAGGAGAATCACTTGAACCCGGGAGTCAGACGTTGTAGTGAGCAGAGATCACACCACTGTACGCCAGCCTGTGCAACAGGTGAGACTCCTTCTCCAAAAAAGGGGGGGGCGGGGAATGCTTAGCTGGGGGTGGTGGCTCATGCCTATAATCCCAGCACGTTGGGAGGCTGAGGCGGGCAGATCACAAGGTCAGGACTTTGAGACCAGCCTGGCCAATATGGTGAAACTCCACCTCTACTAAAATACAAAATTAGCCAGGCATGGTGGTGCATGCCTGTAATCCCAACTACTCAGGAGGCTGAGGCAGAAGAATCACTTTAACCCAGGAGGCAGAAGTTACTGTGAGCCAAGATCATGCCACTGCACTACAGCCTGGTGACAGAGTGAGACTATCTCAAAAAATAAAATAAAATAAAATAAAAATAAAAATAAAAACGGTAACAGAATTAGAAAATCTGCTTAGGATGGTACTAAAGATAAGGTTGAACTACCAATCACAGTTTTGCCTTCAGTCAGCCCTAATATTTCAGTGGCTCAGCTGAACTCATTAGTTGAAAAGGGGCAGCAAATATTTTGTAGTGCTCTCAATAACTCAAAGCATCCTACTGCTGCAACTTCTTAGATGTCGAATACGTAGAGTCACCTGTCAAAAATCTATTCTTTTGTTAATATTCAGCTTTGACATGACTTCCATCCAAAGGCCATTCTCACAACCCCAACCTATACTGCATTTCTCTTCTTGATATAGATAGAAAACACAAGCTTATATTCCAATTACTGTACCTAAAGACTATGAGGTCCGTTATGTGTCGGTGTCTCTTCCCCTAGACAATTAGGCTTTTGAAGATAAGAACAGTGTCAGGGGAGGATCTAAGATAGCCAAATAGGAACAGCTCCTGAGTGCAGTTCCCAGCAAGAACAATGCAGAGGGTGAGTGCTCACCACATTTCCAAACAAGTTTGCACTGAGCACAGACCAGGAGATTCACAGGCCAAAAAGCGTCATGAGTTTTCAGAATGGCTGGTGCAGCAGGTTGGTGCCCAGAAACTCACACAAATCTGGGCAGCTGGCCATTTCAACTGGTGCCTGGAACACCTGGAAGACAGAGCCGCCCATGCAACTGAAAGGGAGGGGGCTGAGACAGGAAGCCAGGTGATCTGGCTTGGTGGGTACCACCCCCACAAAACAAGCAATCTGAAAAGCTCTGGATTAAGAGTTTTGCAGCAAGCACAGCTGGACCTGGGACAGTCCAGCTTAGTGAGGGGGATGGGCATCTGCCACTACTGAGGCAGTCCACCAATACCAAGGCAGTTCACACAGCAACTGGGCAGAGCTTGTGGCAGCTCAGCAATGCCTCTGCTGGCAGACTGTGACTAGACTACTCCATGCAGGGTAGGGGATCTCTGAAAAAAGGCAGCAGCACGTCAGGCACATATAAATAAAGCCAACCTTCCTAAGTCAGAGCATCTGAGAAAAGAGGTGGTTATGAGTTCCTCTGCGACAGACGTAAAGGTACCTGCCCAGCAGCTCTGCACAGAACAATGGAGCTCCCAGCACAGCACTTGAGCTCATATGAGGAATAGACTGTCTCCTCAGGCACCTCCCCAAACCCCGTATACCCAAAGAGACACCTCATAAAAGAGAGCTCAGGCTGACATATGGCAGGTACCCTTCTGGGATGAAGATAACAGAAGAAAAAAACAGCAGCAACCCTTACCGTTCTACACCCTCCCATGGGTGATCCCCAGGCAAGCAGGGTCTGGAGTGGACCTCTAGCAGTCCTGCAGCAGAGGGGCCGGATTGTTAGAAGGAAAACTAAGAAACAGAAAGAAATGGCTTCAAGGAAACAAAAAGGATGTCCACTAAGAGACACCATCCGAAAGTCACCAACTACAAAAAATACAGGTAGATTAAGCCACTAAGACAGGAGGAAACCAGCACAAAAAGGATGAAAACACCAAAAATCAGAATGTCTCTCCTCATCCAAGGGATCACAACTCCTCGCCAGCTAGGGATCAAAGGTGGATGGAGAATGAATCTGATGAACTGAAGAAAACAAGCTTCAGAAGGTGGGTAATAACAAACTTCTCAGAGCTGAAAGAACATGTGCTAACCCAATGCAAAGAAACTAAGAACCTAGAAAAAGGGTTAGCTGAGAATGATAACTAGAATAAACAGCTTAGAGAAGAATATAAATGACTTGATGGAGCTGAAAAACACAGCACGAGAACTTAGCAAAGCATATACAAATTTCAATAGCCAAATCGACCAAGCAGAAGAAAGGATATGAGATTGAATATCAACTCAATGAAATAAAATGAGAAGGCAAGAATAGAGAAAAAGAGTGAAAAGAAATGAACAAAGCCTCCAAGAAATATGGAATTATGTGAAAATACCTAATCTATGTTTGATAGATGTACCTGAATGTGATGAAGAGAATGAATCCAAGCTGGAAAACACTCTTCAGGATATTATCCAGGAGAACTTCCCCAACCTAGAAAGGCAGGCCAACATTCAAGTCCAGGAAATACAGAGAACACCACAAAGATATTCGTCAAGAAGAGCAACCCCAAGGCACATAATCGTCAGATTCACCAGGGTTGAAATGAAGAAAAAAATGCTAAGGGAAGCGAGAGAGAAAGATCAGGTTACACACAAAGGGAAGCTCATCAGACTCACAGCAGCTCTCTCAGCAGAAACCCTACAAGATAGAAGAAAGTGGGGGCCAATATTCAACATCCTTAAAGAAAAGAACTTTCAACCTAGAATTTCATATCCAGCCAAACTAAGCTTCACAGGCAAAGGAAAAATAAAATCCTTTACGGACAAGCAATTGATGAGAGATTTTGTCACCACCAGGCCTGCCTTACAAGAGCTCCTGAAAGAAGCACTAAAAAAGAAAAGGAACAACCGGT